AAAGTGTAAAATTAAATAAAACAAGTACACGTAACTTGCATGAGTTGCCTCCCAAGAAGCGTCTTGTTTAACGTCGCGACATGACGTCATCATTGTGTTCAATCGTTCAAGCTTGGATCATGATAATTATTTTGACCCTTCTCTTCGAAAATCTTTCCAGGATCAAATGTCCAGATTTCCATTGATTCATGTGGTGAGAGTGAGGGAAAGAAATTATCGATTAACATGATCAATGGAAAATGTTTTGATTTCTCAATTTTGGTGAAGATTTCAAAAATGTCTTTATCCTTTTCAATTTTATGAGTTTCCCTCAAAGTTTTTAGAACTGTTGGGGGTACCTCAAAGAATGATAAGGATAAATATTTGACCTTGAAACACGGTTCATCCTCTTCTTTACCAGCTCGAGCTCTGTGTCTCTTTCTTCTTCTACTTCTTCTAGATTTTGGATCTCCTTGTGCATTTCCTTCTCATTTGTCAATGTGATTGCAAAAGTTTACTGTTTAGGATAAGATAGACTCCATTATTAGAGAAGCTAAGAAAGAAATTTGACTTTCCAAGGACGTCACAAAAAGGAAAGTAAGACTTGTTTTATGGGACGAAGGAAGTATGCTCGACTCTGTGTGGAACGCAATCAGGCTTTCAAATGTTAGCGAATGGGCCATGGAAAGCAATCAGGGTTTCAAATGTTGGCCAATGGGCCGAGTGGCGAGTTGGCCTTAGCTTGTTAGGAGTTTCCATCTATAAACCAAAATCACAAATTAGGGTTCATAACCTTCTCCTCATCTTCTCTATATAAACAATCTCTCCAATTTGTTCATACATCTCGCGATTGTAGATCTCTCCAGATCACTAGATTTCCACACATAGTAGATAAAATTGTCTGTTAATATATCTTTGTTCATTACGCAGTACGTATCTGAATCTGCATGAGCTCTCCCGGGCTCGTCTGAGATTCATGTGAAGAAGAAGAAGCCCCAATGCTCGTGCTAAATCAATCCTGCCGCTAGTGTTGCAGTATAGCCCTTTGTACCTCATTTTCATGGCTTTTCTGTGTCAATTCAACGGCTACACCTCTTTATTTATTGTTTATCGTTCTTGATCTGATTTTTTCTATTTATAGCAAGTATAAGAAATTTGCCTCTCCTCACCTTTAGCTTCCTTTCTGATCATATATGAAAGCAGTGGCTAGTCATAGAGGCAAATATTTAAAGCTGACGTAACGTGGAGTGTTTGATTTTCTATTATTGAATCACTCCTAAGTGTGTCTGCTACAGTTCTAAATTCAAAATTTGATCAAAATTATCAGTTTTAAACGTTTTGGCAATGATTTGATAATCCGCGCTTCTGAGATTTGTCTATGAAGCAAAAATGCAATATGGTTGAATTTCTTAATATGAGCCTTATGTTATTTTAAATCATTTAATTATTCTATAATCTGATGCAGTGATGATAAGAATTCAGCTTCAAATGTCAGTTCTGCTTCTGAATACCAGTGATTGAAAAGGCTGTTTTTATCTGAGCGTAACCGTTATGATTTGTGTATTTCAATATTTGATTATTAATTGGTTTTGAGTTTTAACTATACTCTTCCTCTGTTTTAAATGGGTCAGGGTCTGATAAACTCATAAATTGAAGTGCTGTTTATCAGCTTCTTCTCTGCAATCCAACTGAGATTGGAGTTAAATCATAGCACAAGATCCCCCTTTTTGATTAAATTTCTTCCTGTGATTATTGTAGATTACTTGTAGTTTCCTGTCATCAGTTACAGAATCCGTCCCACATGAGATATATGTCAACCATGTCCAGCTATACTAGGGAATCCAATTGTATTCTTTTTGAAATTTGCCAGTGATGATTCAATCCAATTTCATGAGATGTAGTTTTTCAAGGACCCTGTTATGCAGGGAGAACCCCCTTCGTGAAGCTACATTCCATAGGATCATAATAGATTAACCTGAGGCAATTTTATCAGCCTTTAAATTATTTTTTAAAGTGAGATTGAGTCTTTGTCTAAGTGATCATCCTACCGGTTCATAGGTTTGATTGCCAATGTTAAACTCATATAACAAGTGGCTGTCCATCATCTCCTTCCTTTGCTCATCATCAGGTCTGGAGTCAAAATACAGAACAACATTGCCATTACAAACTGACCTTTGCCAATGTTAAACACTTTTGTGGGAAACCAACTACTTTGCCGGTTTTTGGTAATAGTATTAATAATTTTGTGGTGATATATGGAATCTCAGATTTGAAAGTTGAAACCCATTGAAAGGAAGATCATAACTCGTGTTTCTCTGTAATGACATTTTCGGACAAATATGGTTCCAAGAGATCTTCATTGAAGTATATACAGCTCCTACAGCACGCAGCGAGCCCATCAGACGTTTGCAGTGGAAGATGAAGACTCAAAATCTTGCTTTTCTAATTTGGGTTGCTATTGTTTTGCTTATGCTGGATCAGAGGGATTTTTGAGTTTGGGAATTCATAGACGAGTTTAGTTTGAAATGCGTGCTAATTATTTTGGCACTACTTACATTTATTATTCCATCGTGTTATGTAGCATTATGAACTACTTTGAATAATAACAATGAACTGATTATGTGACTGCGTTCCAATTTCATTAGGAGTTATTCAGTGTTTGCAGTCACAATTTTTACCCTATTAATCTACTGGATTTGGGAATACTGTTAATCCTCTCATAATAATATTTCAGTACTTCTTTTATTTTGCCAAACACTAATTTTCAAATCAAATTTATTCAATTTTAATTAATTTTATATTCATTACACAATAATATTGATAATATGAAAATTATAAGAAATGTTTTTGGTTAAAAATATGATCATAAAAATATATTTAGTTTAACATAAATATTAAAATAAACCAATTTTTTATTCCACACGCCCGGTGTACATTTTTTATACGAAAAGTCAATTATAACTAAATAAAAAAGGATGGAGGTAATATTTCTTATTCCACACGCCCGGTGTACATTTTTTATTTACAAATATTCCTGCATTGTTCTACAGAATTGTTTGCTTGTCTATTTAGACAGATAAATTTGCAAAGATGTACACAAAAAGTGTACATCAAAAATTTTTCATGTACAAAACTATAGTGTCAAGAAATTATTTGAAAAAACTCTTGGATGGTTTACTTCACTCATTGTATGGAGAAAAGGTTCCCCAAAACAAAAAAAACCCCTTTTAACAAAAGAGATTCAAGAACGACTCTCATCCAAGTAAAGAAATAGTAAAAACCCTTTTTGAATGTTTTTAGGATATTTAGGATGTTTTTATTTGGATTGAAATTTGTTGGTTTAACTTGGTTTGAAGTGCTCTCGTGCTCTAGGTTGGTCTAGTGATATGAGTTATTACCAATTATTTCTGGTAGTATGATTGAGCGAAAGATATTGATGATTTGGCAGGATTATTTGATAAGATTATTTGATATCTAAAGATGAATTCAGATTAAAGGTAATTTAATCTGAGATGATGGTTAAGGGTAATTTAAAGGTGTAAGATTATTTCTAAAAAAATTACGTGGCAACAGTTTAAAGGTAAGAAACTAAGAACCATAAAATCTTATTATGTGGGAATAATGAATAGGAAAGCTATAGAAATATTTTTTTCTCAAATATTACTCAGATAAAATTTATCACCAAAAATATGACTAAATTATTGTGAATATATCATCATGATGACACAAATGTAAACTTGGATATAATAATGATCATTGAAGTTACAAATATAGTTACTAAACTATGTAAAGTCATGTTTTTATCCACTAGATTTCTTTTAATGATATACAACTCCCCATCATTGTTTCTAGTAAGAATAATACAACTTACATTATTGATTTCTTCTCAATTTACATGTTATATACTCCATGCGTCTCGTAAAGAAGTTCCTAGTTTGACCTACACACATATTTACGTAAGGTAGAGTTTTGTTTTGACTTTCCAAGTATACCCTTACTTTATGTCGAATCAAACAAAAAGTGGGTAAAAAGTAAGGGTAGTTATGACTTTTTGGTTAAAAGTGGTTTCCTTTTATAGAAATGAGAACTTCTTTTTGGGACATCCATAAAAGGAAAGTGGGAAATTCTTTGCGGGACGAATGTAGTATGTTTTAATTTTTTTTAATAGAGGTGCCAAAGTAAAATGAAACTACATTTCACATGAAAGTATACCACTTTTTTGGTGACCAATTCTATAACAACCAATATGTTTACCATTTAGTAATTTTAAATCTATAGAAATTTGCAAAAAGTTGTTATTAAAAATTACTCTGTATGTTACTCCCTTGCGTCCCATTAGAGTTTATCATTTTAACATACCTGTAAAATAAAAATTAAAATTTGTGTGATTGATATGTTTGTGTAAAGAACGAAAAAATAATAACTATTGTATAAATTAGTTACTTTATATGAAAACTGAAAAATTTCTTAGAATAACCCTTTTTCTTAAGACACCCCAATATAGGTAATCCTCGGGGGATGAAATTAGGTATGTCAAAGCTTAAATTTTTAAGCGAATTTTTTTCTTGTGAGTAAGAGGCTTCTCTCGTCTCCAACTCAACTTGGCTTCACAAAAAGCAATTATTCTCCTCGATGATTCAAAATCTCACACCCTACATCTTACTCATGACTGATTTTACATACGAAGTATATTTGTGAGTCTTTGTATTTAAAATAACCAAGGGTACCGACATATTAGTATTTAAAATACATAAATAACAATATTTCAATTGATCCATGGAGACAAAATAGCCTAAAATTTGTCATATTCTTATTAGGGAGAACTATCAAATAAGCCCCCAAACTTTCATAAAAAGTGCAAATAAGCTCTTTTATAGGTGGCTCTGCCCGGCCGTCGCCAATTGGGGCGGTTTTCTGTGGATTTTTGATCAAATTTTTTGAGAATCTTTTTCATTGAGTCTAGTTTACTCATATCATATTTCAGCTAAAAATTCAATCTGTAAGGCAGTCAAATGAATTTTTGAAGATAAATGTGCAGTTAGGCGGTTAAGTATATTTCAGAAAATCATTTGACTGCCTTCTAAATTGAGTTTTTAGCTGAAATTTGGTATGAGTAAACTAGACATAATGAAGAAGATGCTAAAAAAATTTTATCAAAAAATTCCACCTGAAATCACTCCAAATAGGGACATTCAAACAAAGACTCTTGTAAAAAGGCTTATTTGCACTTTTTATGAAAGTTCGAGTTATTTGATAATTCTCCCTTCTTATTATTCACAATAGTTCCTCTCTTCTTCCGACATGATGTAGACGGAAAATGGGCACAACCCCACAATATAACTTGAATCAAACTATGAATCTCCATGATTCTATTTGCTAGCGAGCAAATAGAGCATGCTGTCCTTAGAACACATTAACTAACACAAATTGAATCCACCACACAAATTGAATTCACCCCTGATGCCACTTGTCATGTAGCTTTAAGTTTGACAAGTTAAGTAAGCGTAAATCACTCTTTACTCGTCAGTTACCTCCTCAATAATAAATCAAAGCTAAAAAACATGCATGACAAATAAACTTCTCCACAACTCCAATAACTGCTGCCCACAACATTTCTTCTTCTTCTTCGAAACAATAATTTGCAGAGACGGAGGATTAATAAGTCGCCATGAATGTCGGCCGTACTTTTGTCCAGAGAGTCGCCGCGGGTTTCCGTGGTCACCCTTTTCTCCCCAAAGCAGTCATTGTTGTTACCATCAGGTTTTTTGCTCCATGCTTAATCAACTATCTGAATTTGCGTTATTATTATTATTAAGACTTGAGTTTCCATGCTAAAAGTTATTCGTATTTTTGCATTTTTACTTTTCTATCATTCATTGGACAACCTTTTCTATCCCAGAAGTTAAATCAATCTAGTAGGACTACAAGACCGAGTATTCAGAATTTTATACTACGTATAATATAATAGTTTAGTAGTTCATATGTTCGGGGTGTGACATAAATATCTCAACAGTACGTCATCATAACAACACGTAGATTCGCTATCTAAACGCTTTTGTGTAAATCATGCAGTGGTGGAGGTCTAGTGGCATATACACAAAGAGATCTCTATGGCATTGCGTATGCGGATGCGGGTGAGGTTAAGCGGAAGAAAGTGGTGGTGTTGGGGACGGGATGGGCAAGCATGAGTTTTTTGAAAACGTTGAAGGATTCGTCTTACGATGTTCATATCGTGTCACCTCGTAACTACTTCGTTTTCACTCCCTTGTTGCCTAGTGTCACGGTCGGCACGGTCGAGGCCCGCAGCATTGTGGAGCCCATCCGCAAAATTGTGAGGGGGGTAAGTTGAGTGAATGCATGTTCTTTCGTTGCAAACTCATAAAATTGAGTTAATACCATACTTAAAGTAAATCTATGAAATGCATGTGAATGTATGATTAAGTTAGCATTTTTGTTGTATACTTCTCTAGTGATCAAAAGCATGTGTTGGGTATTGTTAATTATCATAACTAGATAATTAACTATTGTGTGTTTGAACATATGAGCAGAAAGGGTATGACGTTCAATTCAAAGAAGGGGAGTGTTACAAGATTGATACAGAAGACAAGAAAGTGTATTGTCGATCAACCCAAGAATCGAGTTTGGGTCGATCTGTGGAAGAATTTGCAGTAGATTACGACTATTTGGTCATAGCTATGGGCGCTCGTTCTAATACCTTCAACACCCCCGGTGTGGTAGAACATGCTCACTTCTTGAAGGTAGCTACTTATAATTATAGATGTGTCTTTATTCAAATTTAAAGTTCAATTCTAGAAAGTCAATTCTGATCTATTTGAAGATTTTCAGGAAGTGGAAGACGCGAGTAAGATCAGGAGGAATGTGATAGATTGCTTCGAAAGGGCAAACCTTCCGACTGTGAGTGAGGAGGAGAAGAAAAGGCTTCTGAACTTTGTAGTGGTGGGGGGTGGTCCCACTGGAGTTGAATATGCAGCAGAGCTTCATGACTTAGTGAGGGAGAACTTGTCCAAACTCTACCCACATCTTAAACACCATGTCAAGATCACCCTCCTTGAGGCCGGTGACCATATCCTCAACATGTAAGAAGCCACATAATAGTTCTTTCCTACCTTAAAACTTTGCTATATTTAACCGACACGAAGAATATAATAATAAAGTAAAACGTTTGTAGTTCAGGGTTATGTAGAGAACGAGAGAAATAACATGAAACACAAATTAATTGTCTCGTTCTTTTACGGGATCCATCAGGTTTGACAAAAGAATTACCGACTTTGCGGAGGAGAAGTTCCAGAGAGATGGGATTGATGTGAAAACCGGGTCGATGGTGGTTAAGGTTTCAGATCGCGAGATCACAACCAAGGAGCGAAGCTCAGGCAGCACGGTTTTGATTCCTTATGGGATGGTTGTCTGGTCCACGGGCATTGGAACTCGCCCCGTTGTTATGGATTTTATGAAGCAAATTGGGCAGGTTTTATTCCAAACTGTACTCTAACGATTGCAATTAAAATACAATAAACTCAATATATACAATGAATATTTGATTTAAACATCGGTGACAACTCCGGTACCTTTCTAAAAATTGGGGTACCGTACCTATCATTCATTTGATTGGACCACATCACTTTATAATTTTTAATTTAGATTTAAATAATTCAACTGCTACATTTTCATTGGTCCATGTGGACAAAGGTATGGTACCTTACGTATTAGTTGATCATTGAAATTGTTTTCTTTGGATTGCAGACAAATAGACGAGTGTTGGCAACAGACGAATGGCTTCGGGTGGAAGGGTGCACAGACATATATGCTTTAGGCGATTGTGCCTCTATAAACCAACGTAAAGTCATGGTACGTAAATTTCACTTGATAAAATACATGCTCTCCCCTTTTCGAATTGAATTGCAAACTTTGACCCGAACAAGGATTAAGGAATGACAATAAATGATACCCCCTCCGTCCCATATTTATCTTCGTAGTTCGGTTTACGATGCTTGACTGACGATAAAGTAACTTGATCCCTGTTCACACTCAGATTATTTTTATTAAATTAAATTTACATATTCAGAAACTACATTAAATCCACTACAAAGACTGATCAAGAAAATTTAAGTTTGATAAAAATTTGATATATAAAGTAAAAGTTTTAGAGTAATTTGAATTGACCATGTGAATAGTAACTATGAAGATAATTTTGAGACAGAGGGAGTACTTGTTTTTTACGATAAAAGTAGATGCCTTTAAGTAAATGGGAAAAAAAATAAAAAACAGAGGTAAATTTGTCGCTTTATTCTTATTTACATACCTAAAATAGAAAGTTGAAATCATTTTTTAACAACCAAAATAGGAAATTTTGCAAATCAAATTGGGACAGAGGAAGTATAAAAAAAATAAAAATACTACGTAATAGACTATGCAAAAACATGACTTTTATTATGTACCGAGTATAATGATGTTTTCAACGTGATTATAGCCATGTTTGGTAAATGCGTAATCAGCCAAAAATTAGCTTGTTTGACCAATTTTAGCTAGTTGAAATGGTCAAACAATTGAAAAGTTATTTCCAAAATAGGACTAAAACAGTTTGAAAATTCCAAAATAGGACTGCCATATTTTTATTCTCAAAATATGACTAATTATTGTCATGTTTAGAAAATACTGCAATGTTTGAAGTCTGGTATATATATAGGTCCTGTCTATTTTCGCGCCTAGGGGTGAGATAATTTCTTGAGCTTATACTCAAGACAAACAATAAACTAACTTATTTAAAATAATAATTATAATAATATTATTGTTATTATTTAAAATACATATTTGGTGAAAAGTAACAACACAAATATCACATAAAAAACATTAGTTAAAAATCTTTCTCGCAGAGCATTGTGAAGCAAAATCATCAATTTGAATGGACTTTACCATATGGGAGTTTTGGAATCGAGAGACTTAACATAACTTGGTAGTATTGTAATTAAAAGGATTATAAAGCATAGAGATGTGAAGACAATTAAGACAAACGTTCCTCTTTAGATTTATTTTAAAAATTAAACCTTGGGCCTAATTAATTGAGTTTAAAAATTAAAAAAATAAGCCTACTCACACTACATACAAAGAAATACTTTTGGGCCTATTTTTTCTTACTATTTTCTTGGGTCTAGGGTGGTCGCCCACTCGCCCTGTTGCACCCCCCTAGGGCGATCGCCTTGTATATATATACACACATATACATACTATTGTTAGCGCCATATTAGATTATTATTATATTATATACTCGCTCCGTCCCCCTATAATTGTTTCTTTTTTTCATTTTTGGATGTCATTCTATTATTGTCTCATATTCCGTATCATATTTGTTAACATTTGTGTGACTCTAATTCATTTTTGCTTTATTCCTACTTTATCAATTCATTATAACTACATGATTCTACTTTTATTAAAAACCACACCACTTACTTCCTTCCCAATATTAGGGGGACATACGGAGTATATGTTAGGCTATTATTACACTCTCGTTCCATTCTTGTATGCATGTACATATTATATGTATGTATGCATATATTTTGAGATTTTTGGCTAATTTACAAGCTAGTTTTTGGCTAATATATATAAAGAGATTTGGAGTTTTAATCTATTAACTTCTGGTCATACATGTTATTAGACTTGTATGGTAAGTATAGCTTGCAAATTTGATCATATAGCTAGTAAATATATACTCCCTCCGTCCCATATTTATCTTCACAAGTACAATTGGCACACATATTAAGATAGTGTGATATGTATGGTGGAGAGTTGTGCAGAGGAAAGAGAAATGTGTAAGAATGTGTAAGAAAGGTTGTGAACCACAAATTCTTTGTTAAAAAGGGAAAGAGGAGATAAAATTGGGACAGACCGAAAAGGAAAGTATGAAGATAATTGCGGGATGGAGGGAGTATTACTTTTGTTCCTTTTTAGTGGCAACATTTTAAATTTTACATTATTCACACATGCTTTACTTTGACTACGTTTTTTATTAATGTATTATGAATTTTACAAAAAATACTTAGAAATATTAAATATATAGTATTGTCCTTTTACGTCTTTTTACACTCTACCAACTATTATTAAACAACCAATTTTACCAAACAATTGCTGGCAACACGCTATTATAAATAATCAATCAAAACAGTTAATACAACCAACTATTGTTAAATTACTGCCACGATCAGGTAACAACTAACAACCGATTGCCAAATAAGGTTATAGTGTAGTGACCATGCCATTGAGTATAGTGTTTTTCACGGTATTCAAATTTACATTAGAGTTACCATAAAATTATTTGTCCATTAGCCATAGTAATCATATAGTCATATTATAGTCATTGTGGTGCCTTAGATTCTATATGAATATTAAATTTGAAAAAAGAAATGAATTGTGGTTAACATGGACCCTTGTATGACCAAAACAATAAGGATTTGTTACTTCACCAATGCATTTTACAAACCATATGTTTAATAAGAGGTGCTTACTAATAAACAATTGTGTACTTCACCAATGCATTTTTTAAAACATGGTTTGACTTTGAATTGTCAATTATAATCTTTAGGGACTTTAGCCTCCTTTTTACTATCATTCCCACCCCATCACCACACCCAAGGGCGGGCACTAGTACAAGGGATATTTTCACAAGAAGTTTCTTACATTAAAATTTAAGACATTTTTTTTTTAATTTGGAATGAGCCTGGGCCTAGGTTAGCCCGCCCTAAATCCTCTCATGACCACACCCTATCCCCTAGCCTACCCACTACCCCTACCCCTACCCCAACTTAGTAGAGGTAGAGGGTAGTGGTAGTGGTAGGAGTGTGGGTGTAGGGAGTGTGTAGGGTAGGGGTAGAGGGTGGGGGTTAGGAGTAGGTTATGGGTAGAGGTGTTTCGACAAATTTAATTATGGGATGCAAGATGGAGTATACTTATCGATATAAACTTAACATGCTTCTTAATAAAACACGTGGGGTGGGGGTGCTTACTAACAATTAACATTACAAGGCATAAAAAGTTTTACTAAGCAGATATTCATCCAAAAATTATTTACTCCACTTATGTTTATAAGCTAACTGTAAAATTAAATGTGAAGTAAGTATGCCCTAATTAAAGCAAAGGTTGTTTTGTATACGTTTAAGATTGAGTTCTTTTACAAGTGGAAGATTGGTGACAGGAAGACATAGCAGCAATATTCAGCAAGGCCGACAAGAAAAATTCAGGCAACCTAAAAGTGGAAGATTTCAAAGAAGTGATCAATGGCATACGGGAAAGGTATCCACAGATAGACATTTATCTAAAGAAGAATAAGATGAAATGTTTCACTGATCAACTCAAGAGTGCAAAAGATGGTACTGAGATTAACATTGACAAGTTTAAGGAGCTTCTGTCTGAGGTTGACTCCCAAATGAAAACTCTTCCTGCCACCGCACAGGTACGTCCTTAGTACTATACGTGTATAGCTGCATTTGCAAAAGATGGTACTATTTATGTTGATAATGTCTGGCCTTTTTAGGTTGCTGCTCAACAAGGAGCTTACCTTGCTGATTGTTTCAATCGTATGCGAGCTTGCGAAAGGAGCCCCGAAGGTCCATTGAGGATCCGAGGGACGGGACAACATAGATTCCGTCCTTTCAGGTATAATAAATCAAACTAATATAAGTGTATGTTAATATATTTTGAAACTCACCCCGTTGAGGAAGTACAGGGTCTCTGGGACTCGGGCCAAGTCTTTTAGTGCATACATAAACTGTTATATGATGAGACAGTTCATCTGAATTGTGCCATTTTTCATGGTTTCCATCTGTTCGTCATTGTCATTTTATATAATCACTGTCATTTTTCATAGGTGCTCACACCATAATTATGAACCTGCTATTCGGTTTGGCTTTGACACTGTGTTAAGACATATGATTACATCCTAAAATGTCAACCTGATTAAGTAATATCTTAAGATCTTAAAATAGTTCATCATGAACTTATACGGTTATATCAATACGGTGTGAGACAAATACTTCCACATAGATTTGTTCGTCACCCTTACGTTGCATTCTGTATTCTCTTGGTTTGTTTTGCATCCTTTATAACACTAAGATGTAAGTTTGTCAACTACTATCAATGAAGTGGACGTAGGTAGGTCTGGTCCATTACTATTGAGTTGAACTATGTTTTGTATGTTTATAAGGTATAAGCATCTTGGACAATTTGCACCACTGGGAGGAGAACAGACTGCGGCTCAACTACCGGGAGATTGGGTCTCCATAGGTCATAGCACCCAATGGCTTTGGTATTCAGTTTATGCAAGGTAAATCATATTTTGTTCTCTCCTATCCCATTTAATGATTATTTAATCTAAGATTTCAATTGATCTTGTTCAGCAAATTGGTGAGCTGGCGCACACGGGCTTCAGTAATTGGAGATTGGATCCATCGTTTCATTTTTGGCAGAGATTCTAGCAGAATATGAAACTGTGGATTGCAACATTTATATCACTTCCCTATTTTTCCATTTTCTTTTTTATATGATAATTAAAGAGAAGATTACCTATAATCACACATCCTCTTACATTTATCCTATGTGATAGACCTCCAAAAATCCTATGTGATAGACCTCCAAAAATGTTGTTTTCAATGTATGTTATCTTACTTAATGACACTTTCTCTAGCCTAAATATCTACCAGATTTCGAAACATTGTTGCATATCATTATCAATTGTAGCATTTCAGCACGTACCGTTCTAATTACTTAAATTGATATTGTGAGAAATGTCAATCATATTAAGAAACGTTAGATAATTGTCTATAAAAAAATGTACATACATTAGATTATTCGTTTAAATCACAAAACATATATATCAAACCTTCTGGAAGGGGCTATTTTGAAATTAGTCGTGACAGTACCTAAGGGTGTGTTTAGGAGTTTGAGGGTGAGGGAAGGGGAAAGCATTGAAGGGGAGTAGAGAGAAGGGAAGAGGAGGGAGATGGGAAGGGATTCCCTCATCTTGTTTGGGAGTTGCAAATTTCAAAAGAGGAGGGTTTGGGGACTTGAGGGGTTTCAACGGCGGAGAATAAAAAGTGTTTCTCAGATGAAAAATTAAGAACTAATCATGACACTTGGTTTGATGAAATGGAATGAGAAGATCAATTTCTCGCCTGCAAGTTTTCTGACGAATCCTTACATATATAATTTGATTTGAATAAAAAGTGTTTCTCAGATGAAAAATTAAGAACTAATCATGACACTTGGTTTGATGAAATGGAATGAGAAGATCAATTTCTCCCCTGCAAGTTTTCTGACGAATCCTTACATATATAATTTGATTTGAATAAAAAGTGTTTCTCAGATGAAAAATTAAGAACTAATCATGACACTTGGTTTGATGAAATGGAATGAGAAGATCAATTTCTCGCCTGCAAGTTTTCTGACGAATCCTTACATATATAATTTGATTTGAATAAAAAGTGTTTCTCAGATGAAAAATTAAGAACTAATCATGACACTTGGTTTGATGAAATGGAATGAGAAGATCAATTTCTCCCCTGCAAGTTTTCTGACGAATCCTTACATATATAATTTGATTTGAATAAAAAGTGTTTCTCAGATGAAAAATTAAGAACTAATCATGACACTTGGTTTGATGAAATGGAATGAGAAGATCAATTTCTCGCCTGCAAGTTTTCTGACGAATCCTTACATATATAATTTGATTTGAATAAAAAGTGTTTCTCAGATGAAAAATTAAGAACTAATCATGACACTTGGTTTGATGAAATGGAATGAGAAGATCAATTTCTCCCCTGCAAGTTTTCTGACGAATCCTTACATATATAATTTGATTTGAATAAAAAGTGTTTCTCAGATGAAAAATTAAGAACTAATCATGACACTTGGTTTGATGAAATGGAATGAGAAGATCAATTTCTCGCCTGCAAGTTTTCTGACGAATCCTTACATATATAATTTGATTTGAATAAAAAGTGTTTCTCAGATGAAAAATTAAGAACTAATCATGACACTTGGTTTGATGAAATGGAATGAGAAGATCAATTTCTCGCCTGCAAGTTTTCTGACGAATCCTTACATATATAATCTGATTTGAATAAAAAGTGTTTCTCAGATGAAAAATTAAGAACTAATCATGACACTTGGTTTGATGAAATGGAATGAGAAGATCAATTTCTCGCCTGCAAGTTTTCGGACCAGTCTATACATATATAATCTGATTTGAATAAAAAGTGTTTCTTAGATGAAAAATTAAGACACTTGTTTGATGAAATGGAATGAGAAAATCAATTTCAAAATAAAAATGTAAGGGCATGGTGGTACGTAGATATGAATATTTGAATGATACAGCTAAAATAAAAGTGGATGATTGTATTGAAATTTGAAAGTGTGCTTCAAGACATAGTACACACTAGACAAGACATACATCTTAAAAAATGCACTTGAATAATAATGTGTAATAAAAAAGTTCACACAAAATACACACTACGTACATTATAAGAGACACTTTCACTATTAAATATTTCACATTTGAATTTTATATATGTACGACTATGCCATCACAATTTTTGAATAAGTAATGGTCTAGTCATCCATTTTTTCCGATGAAAGACCTACATTTATTCTTCCTTTTTCGTTTCTAAATTACATATCTTTAATTTTATTCGAACCTTACTATATACACATATATGTATGATATATATTGCGGCAAATTTAATCACACTTTCATAATTTTGTCGAATTACAAAAATGTCACCACATTTTTATTAAATTTAACGCATTATTAGCATTTTAGAATCATTAGATCATCAAATTTGATGCATTAGATTTATTCATACTTTTCATGGAACAACATTTTATATTTAAAAAAGAAAAGGACGTAGTATATTATATTATTTAAAATTGTTGGTGATAAGAACTTTAATTAGTAATTAATGTTAAGACATAAATAAACATAGGCTAGCACAATTGTATTGAACATTTGAACTAATGACATGCGACCAAGTGAGCAACAAGTCAACAAGGGCGCCCCATTTTGAATTATTTGGAAAACTTTGGCTGTGCGATTATGAAGCTGTTGGGTACGTTACGCGTGCAAGTAATATACTCTCTCTGTTGTTACGCGTTCCACCTTTCCTTTTTGAGCAGATTCAAAATTAAATCCTACTTTCAAACATTTCCTCATTTGACAAATTATCTACACCAAAATAGTGTCAAACATTGTTCAAACAGTGTTCAAACAGTGCCAAACAGTGTTCAAACAGTGCCAAACGATGCACTCCACAGTAAAATCAAATTTATTTTTCTTAATATGTGTGAAGTCAAATGTGAAACTTGTTTGTGAATCGGAGGGAATAAATACTAATGTTCATATAGTTGTCTGTTTACAAACACCTCTGTTTACATATATAAACAATGTGCAGAGCCGGTTTTTACCACGTTCAACATGTTCTACAGAATAAGATCTCCCGGTTTATAGGGCCTCATTTTTTTTAAAAAAAATTACTCCATATTAGTATTACATAGTACTACATTTGTCCCTTAAAACTTTGCCAAAGTTGACCGGCACGAAAAATAATAAAGTAAAAACTGTGTGGTTGAGGTTTGTGCAGAAGATAGAGAAATAACAGAAACCACAAAAAAAATTGATTAAAAGGGAAAGTGACAAAGTTTTTTGGGACGTCCAAAAAAGGAAAGATGACAAAGTTTTAAGGGAAGGAGGGAGTAATAATCTATATTAATACTATTCAGTAAAATAAAGTTTTTGTCAGTCCTTTTGCTCCTGTTTACTCAAATTGATTGAGTGATGAGTTGTATTGCTTTAGACCAGGTATTAAGTGATTTTTAGAATTTTTATTACATTATTTGATAAGTATAAGTATTTAGATTGAGACTTTTTTAATGAAACAGGATAACCAGGATTGATATGCCATACAAACATTGATGCTTAGGGATTGATATACGAGTAGTATTTATCTACACAAAAGAGTGAAAATAATAAAATGTGAATTTTTAGAAGTGATCGAATCTTATTTAATCAGTGGGAAAACAATAATGGTCCTCTTTAAAGAACTTAAAGTATCTTTTACTCATATTCAAAGAATTTTCTCAAATTTTAACAATACGATTAACAAACATTACGGTACTTACTCCGGTCCCAAATGAAATTCACGCCTTCTTTTTTGGGTAGGTCTAAAATAAACTTCACACTTCTTCTCCCTTCCTTATTTGACAAATTATTTACATCAAAACAGTGTCAAACAGTGTCAAACAGTGTCACAACAATGTACTCTACAATAAAATCAAATTTATTTCCTTAATTTGTGTGCAGTCAAAATGTGAATTTCATTCGGGACCGAAGGAAGTAAATTGAATGCATAATGTTATTATTCCAACAATCAGACATGTAATTTTCCGACAACCAAATATAAAATTTTCTCTATAAATAAATATTTTTAATGTCATTAGTAATGAACTTATTATTATTATAAACACAAAGATAAGTAAAAAAGTTTAGGTTTCACCTAACCAAGGAAGATTTAAGTTGGATTGTTGGAAACCACAAAACGGGAAAAAGTTTAGTGGCACATGACTTCAATTCTCCTCCATTAATTACTAGCCCTTTCTCATCAAATTAAGAGAAAATAATGTGCCAGAATAAATTTATTCGAATAGATGTGACACAAAATTGTATCAAATGAATAAGATCATACTCCTCATATACGGAGTATGTCATTGAAAAACAATTTATTATTCACCTAATTAACAGTTCGAATAGAGTTATTGTTTGTGGAATGAACGAGTTGGACATTTGAGCTTGTGTAAATGTAAAAAGGGGCATGTATATTTGTAAACTTATAAAAAATGTTCAATATGTATAATGTACGTGTACGATGTAACCGAAAAACACAAGTATTATACACAATTTTTACATGTATCTCATATAATGCAAAATTGACAATGTCTAATGAGATAGAGGTAATAACATAATGCATACTACACATTTGGCATCCATAGTGTGAAAGAAAATTGACCGAGACCGGACCATAACGAGTATGGAACCAGTATATCGAAGTTCGGTCTGAGACCGCCCTACAAATACCTCAAGGACCGGCCCATCCAAGACCTGATGGGGTCCATCCATACTCCACCTACTTCAATTCCCCCTGAGCAGGTCATATAATTGAATTGACCTTCTCCTTAATTCACATTGCACAATTTTGTTTGATGTTCTCTCCCCCTTCAAAGCTCTAAATACTATCCTACATTGCTTTTTGATTGCGAAGATAGGAAATATAAAATACAGTCTTGTAGCAGTAGGTAATAATGTCATTGAATGGTTTTACAGTTTTACTTCCCATCATATATTCATGTATTTCATCGGTTCATTTTTAATTAGTGATCTTTGACGCTAGTCCTTGACTAGTAATATATTTACATACGAAAATATATATACTATTATGAAAGTGATATTAAAATGTTCTTTATCTAAAAAAAATTATCACAAAAGTATAACTTTTTTAATTTTTATTAAAATATAGATGTTAAAATGATTAACCAAAGTTCATCATCAGTGACCGTAAGAGTTAATTATGGATAATTAAAGAAGTGTTTGAATTTACTTCTTAAAATTACTTCTACTCTTTTAGAAAGTAGAAACAGATATTGGAATGGTTTAGTGAAGGTGCATTAGTACTTCTGAATGTTCCGAAACGATCATAGAAGCAATTTTTAATACTCGGGGGGATGACGCTTGGAGACCCAGCTTGAATTCACGATTCCAACATCGATGGCGACTGATGGTCTTCTACAGCTCGAAATTACGTTTGGGAAGCCACGGCCTGCTGACAGCTCGGAGGGGCGACCAAGACAATGCTCATAGCGCCGGCGATGAGGACTCCCTTTGGTCACCATCCATTTGTTTAGCCACGACATTGAATCCATCTATTTGGCCACAGTGGTGCATCCATCTCGTTAGGTTTGGTGGTTTATCGATGTGGTTTGCCAGAACTCCAGAAGCATAACTGGGCCTGGGAGAGAACGAAGTCAACAGGGAGGGATGAGAAGAGAAAGAGAAAGACAAAAAGAACGGCCACGTGGCACCACATGTTACTATACAGCCGGCTGTACGTACGGTGTCCACCGTACAATCGGTGGCAGTTTTGTAATTTTGATGAAAAGTACGGATCCCCTAAAATGAGCTTTGATGAACATTAGGTTTATTTTTTTAGTATTAGGAGCCCACCAATGAGCATCAATGTTCTCTGCTCCCTATCTTCGAATTCACTTTTGTTTTATTATTTTTCAATATGTAAATTTAATCTAATGTAGTAGGATACATTTGAAATGTGCAACATTTTTAAATGCATAAAGTGGTATCAAATGAGTATTTATAACTTAGAAAATGAGTATAAAAAAATCCAAAACCTCATTTGTGTATGCTCATTCATTTTGAACGTTGTACTCATTTGATCTTAACAAAAAACTCATTTCTAATGTGTAAAACATTCATTTGTATATGTTCATTCCTTTTAGGCGTATACTCATTTGAGTTTAATGTAAAACTCGTTTGAGATTAACAGCGGCAAGGGTTCCTCAGCAACGAAGTAGACTTCCTTTGTCTCCTAAAATCACATGCTCAAACAGTAAAACTACACCGGCAACTACGCCGGAAAGAAATACAGAGGGAAGAGAGGTGAGTAGGGTGGAGAAGGGGGGCGAGTGGTGAGCTTTGACGACGAGCCGCTGGTGCAAAATTAGATCGAAGAAGCCCAACGAGATTGAATAAGCGAGATGCAAAGTCGTGTGTGAAATCCGGTGCGAAAACGTCTGCGAAGTCTTGTGCGAAGGTTTGGTGCGAAGCTTGTGGGAGGGCGAGAAACACAAAAGGTTAAAAAAAGTCTGACAATAACGTGAGCACGGTACATCCGGCTGTAGGATGGAATTTACCGTGAAAAGTTACCTGTAATCCATCGGTAACCTACTAAAAAAACGTATTTGAACATTTTCAATGATTGACATTTTAAATTCGAGGGTTTTTAAATTGGATTGGTATGTGCTGATTTCTGTACCTAAACATGATAAAAAGTCGTCCTCTGAATATGCGGTGTATAATTTTTCAGACTCCTTTAATGTTCCTCGGACTATTTATATTCAACTTTGGGGTGTGATACTTCATTACGGAAGTTAGTTATACATTCGATCTCGACTCCAACAAACTATTGGTCCAGGTATGTTAAAACGGTTGAACATAGCGCACTTTCCTTTTTTTGATTATCGGGTTTTCTATTTTCTGATGCCTTTGCTGCTGCAGTGAGATTTATTAAATATGAATTGCAAGTTCTCCGACGATCCCATCATCAACGAGTTCTACATTCCGACGTATATCCTGTCACCTGATGCCGTCGGCGAGACTAAGACGTTACCGGATGTGCCGTCCTCCCCCGTGCTAGTCTTCATCAATTCTAGGAGTGGCGGTCAACTTGGAGGAGATCTTCTTCTCACCTTTCGCTCTCTGCTCAACAAGCACCAGGTAGTCTATGGTCCATTTTGTATGTGAGTTTATGATTTCTTAGGCTAATGCGATTTGATGCTCAGGTGTTTGATTTGGGAGAAGAATCGCCCGATCAGGTGTTGCGAAGGCTTTATTTGAATCTAGAAAAGCTCAAGAGCAATGGCGATGTGTTAAGTTCGAAACTAAAGGAAAGGTTGAGAATAATTGTGAGTTAATTAAGCTTTTGACTCATTTTTCTCTCATTTGACAGCATTAGTTATGCATGCCTTCTGTTTCAATACCTGATGTTTATGGAGTCGTTTAGGTTGCAGGCGGGGATGGAACGGCTGGCTGGCTTCTTGGTGTTGTTTCTGATCTCAAATTATCTCCACCTCCCCCGATAGCCACCATGCCTTTGGGAACTGGAAACAACCTCCCTTTCGCATTTGGATGGGTATTGTATACACATATTCTTTCATATTTTCACTTATGCTTTCAAGGGAACAGGTTTTAATAATGTCTCATCCATCCAAGCAAAATTTCTGATTTTGTTCTTTCTCTTTATGTCGATGGGTGTGATGTTTTATTCTCTTAGCAATTTTCAGGGGAAGAAAAACCCAGGAACAGATCGCCAGTCCGTGCTCTCCTTCTTGATTCAAGTAAAGGATGCCAAAGAAATGAACATAGACAGGTTTTGTGTTCAAATATTCCCTTTTGTTCAAATTCTTAAACAAAACTCAGCCTCTTACTTAGACAATGAACAGGCAGGTTCATACATGAGAAGTGGTAGGGAGGGAGTGTATTATTTGGCCTGTACTTGAGCTTAAAACTTCTCAGCTACTTAGGAACTGGAAACTTTGTACTCCTAACTTTTTAGTTCTGGTCTTGAAATTATAAAAGTATTTTATCGCACTATGCTTGTACATATGCCCGCATTTTGCATTCAATATTTTGACTCATTCCAAACCTGTAAATGCTTGGGTTGGGGACTGGGAAGCATTTCCCTTAGCTAGGTTTAGTACAACTGTTTTGTCCATGCATTACCTAAGCACCTAAGTTTGAATTATACATCTACTTTCAAGTTTCAACTATTCATAGCAGCACCAGTACTTGACTGTTCCGTATCTGTTCAAAGATGCTTATATATTTGGAATTTGATGTAGCTGGCATATTCTCATGAGGATGAGAGCACCAAGGCAAGGCTCTTGCGATCCGATTGCACCTCTTGAGTTGCCTCACTCTTTGCACGCTTTCCACCGGGTATCTGAATCTGATGAATTGAATGTGGTGAGATGAAGTCTATTTTGTCATAATTACTAGCTCTCTTAAACAATCTTGTTTATAATACTACTTACGACATTATAAAACAAACTCTCTCTCACATTATTTTGGAAAGGAAATAGTAGTAATAATAATTTTATACGAAGTATTTGGTTATGTATAAAAAATGTACTAAACATACCTTTGTCTTCATGAATGTCATATAAGATACATTGTCATAGCACTATGTTATTGGTTTGCTTAGATCTATGAATAAAAAAAAGGAAAAATTGATTGTAATAATCCCAACTATTGGCGGTCCGTTCATAATAATCTCAACTATCGATTATTTCAGAATAATCTCAACTTTAGGGACCTTCCGCCAATAATGGTCCGATGTGACCGACTATAAATAAATTCTTATAGTTTCTAAAGAGATATAGTAGGTAATACCTATAAATAATCCCAAATTTTAATTTTTACGCTTAATTTCTATTAAAAATTCACTTGTTAGAGCAGGTAATATGCGGTCATGGACCATTATTGGCGGACAGTCCATATAGTTGGGGTTATACAAAAATAATCAATAGTTGGGATTATTGTTAGCGGACCGGCAATAGTTGGGATAATTATTTTCAATTTTTCCTAAAAAAAATATAAAACGGTTAATAGTCAATGAGTATTGCTTTGACTTGTGCATCATTGAGTTTTCTGCAATGCTTAGTGGATGAAGAAGAATATGGGGAAATCTATTATTGGTTGTCCCTCCCATTCTCCATTCTTAAAGACAGTTCTCAATAATTAAAACTAAGAAAAAGTGGAGTAATGTTTGAGTCATTTTCTTATGTCAAACTTTTGAATTCTACTCAGGCAGGGTATCACACATTCCGTGGTGGATTCTGGAATTATTTCAGCATGGGTGAGTTCATATTTGGCCAATGCTACCTCCTATAGTTAGTTAGCTTTCTCATATCCTTGACAAATCTTTAATTCAAAATATTTCTAATATACAATAATATATTAATAATGCTTCTTGAGATCATTGAGCATTAGGAGTCTCCTGGGATCATTGAGCATTAGGAGTCTCTTCTCCCTGAATGAAAGTTTACTAGTAAAACTAGAGTAAATGTAAATAAATGGAAATATGGATATTTTAATTTTAAATAATGAAGGAGCAAGCTTGGATGTAGTATGAACCGCAGAAAATAATGTGCCATTTATAAAGTTAAGTGTCACTTTCCAAATGGCTGGTTGTATGCTCCAATGTTTGTATCCAGTTTATCTGAACTCTAAAGTGGTTCTTATGAAAAATTCTTCTATCACAAATATTTTGCTATAGCATTAAGTCAAATGTGGTGATGAGGGTATGACTTAAATGTAACTAGGACACCTATGTTTAACAAACTACAGATTACTACTTAGCTTCTGTAACTCTTTCTTTTTTGCTACATTTTGGGAGTGAGTGTCTTCAATTTGTATGCAGTCAAGACACTTGTTTTATGTAAATTAAAAAGGTCCACGTGTAAGTGCTAACAGCTCTAAAAAGATGTAAATTTGACCAGGGTTTTCTGATTTTCCAAATTTAGTTTTTGACTGTGTGTATCCTCATCAATTAGAATGCTGTTTAAACTGTAGTGTGAATAGCGGAATAGCCTCTTTGTACAAATGATTGATATCCCTATTTTGTGAGCCAGTAATTTATAGTACTTTCTGACATTTCACTAGTTCATGATGTTTAAATTGTATTTAGCATGTCTCCATACCCAGTTCATGTGCATTTTCTCCTTGTTATGAGTAGTTTTAGACTTTCAGGTTTATTTTATTCTTTATTCTTTACTATTTGTTCATGCGGACAGGTATGGATGCACAAGTATCATATGGATTTCATTCTGAACGGAAGCTGCATCCAGAAAAATTCAAAAACCAGCTTGTAAATCAGGTCTAATGCTAAAATTCTAGTGTTTTGGTCATGAGTTTTCCTGTTCAATGTAGTAAGAAGGTGGAGATTCTCAGCTTTTTATTCTTTTGGTTTGGTCAGAGTGCATATGCAAAGCTTGGATGCACACAAGGATGGTTTGCTGCCTCAATCTTTCATCCTTCGTCAAGGTGAGTTTAAATGTTTTGTGCACTAATTAAGTAATGTATTTGTTTTTTAAGAAATGCTAAATACAGTCACTTATTTTACAATCTTTCTATCATGGGCCATGTCAGCTTATTTGTTTTATGTGTGTTATCATAATGAGTATTACGTGGTGGAGTGAACCAATAATAGAGGCTGTTAGAGACTTGTATTTTTATGGGGGGGGGGGGGGGGGGTAATGATTGCCTTGCTGTGGTAGAGTTGATGATTTTGTAGCTCGTACAGAGACGATGGTTCATAGAGTGCTCAACTGTAATCTTAACCATAAATTTAATGTATGTTTAAATTTATGCGGATGAGAGAAAATAAATTTTGAACACATTATTCTTTTCTTAAAAGGAAAGAGGAACCTTATTTTGGGATGGCGGAAAAAGTTTTTCTTTATCGGGGACAGAAAGTGTATAAAAATGTGGTTCATTTGGACAACAGCAGTTAAGCTTGGGCCAATTAATTGTTTGATTAACCTCAGTTTTTGGTTCAGTTCATTGTGGTAATCCTGTATGCTGAATTTTTTTTGCACCCCTGATTTGCTCGATTGAGCAAAAGGTGAAAATTGGAAGCTGTTTTATGTATCAGATTATATAAATCCACATTTTCTGTAGGAATATAGCTCAACTAGCAAAGGTTAAGATCATGAAAAAGCAAGGTGAGTGGAAAGACCTCAAAGTTCCACACAGGTAAGGTTATGAGGTTATCATCATTCCTAAGATGATAAGCAGCTTAGTTCATGTATAATATACATATAAATTTTCCATCCATTTTCAGCATCAGGTCAATAGTATGCCTCAACTTACCTAGCTTCTCTGGTGGACTGAACCCATGGGGAACGCCAAATATCCACAAACGTCGTGACGTATGTATCAAGAACTCCAGATAGCTGGTCTTCTCTCTCAGCAATATGCAATACTGAGTATCAAATTTGTTTTTTCCCTTATTGGTTGGTTACCTGCATGTTTTGTGCTTGAGGTGTTCATAGTTTTAAGTGTTTGATCGCTAATTGACCATGTTCCAAAACATAAAAACATATCGCCACATTTTCAATCTTTTTACTTAAAACTCAAGTGTAGTGAACTGTTAATGGGATTATGGGAATAGATCGGCTCATCGGCGACACAAGACAAAAGACTAAAAGCACTCATTATGAATAAAGACGTCTTTAGTAAAATAGAAATAAATAATTTGGAAGGAGAACGGCTAAATTGTGCAAAATTGATCAATGAAGGAAAATATATACTTTTATCATTGTTTTGCATGTCCATGACCAACGTGCTTTGATCACCTGTTGTGCAGCGGGACTTGACTCCCCCATATGTAGATGATGGGCTTATTGAAGTTGTTGGCTTTAGAGATGCCTGGCATGGACTGGTTTTGTTTGCTCCCAATGGACATGGCACACGCCTTGCACAGGTTGTGAAAATATTCTCATTTCCAATGTCATCTTTTAACAAGCAAATCACAAATATCTATAGATTTTAGCAAAGGTGGCTTAAAAGAAACGAAAAATGGGGTTTGTCTAATATAGAATCCATGGACAGAAAAAGCAACTATTGGTTACTATAGTTACTACAAAATCATAATGGTCATTACTCTGTGAAATTGAACGCCATTTTCTTCATTCTGGTCATTGCGAAAGTACCACTATGAATCTAAGATTAATGTGTATTAAAAGTCACTTGTTTGTACATTCCTTTTAGTCATATACGTAGTATTTCTCATTATTTCCAAAAATGCTATCAGTAGTTGTAGAAAAACAAAAAGTGGAAATTTATGTTTTACTACTAACGACTTCTAAGTTCTAACACATTTGCATGTGTGTACATAGGCACATGGAATAAGGTTTGAGTTTCACAAGGCTGCAGCTGATGAAACCTACATGAGGATTGATGGGGAGCCATGGAAACAGCCCCTCCCGGTAGACGATGACACAGTAGTAGTGGAAATATCCCATCTGGGACAGGTTAAGATGCTTGCCACACATGATTGCAGAGCCAGAAGTGTGTTCGACCCCTCCAGTCCATCACACCGTGATGGCGACGATGGAGACAGCGGTGGCGAAGAAGATTCTGTCTCAGAGGAACGGAGGAAGTTTGGGGCGGCAGATACATTCAAGATTCCTGATGAGATTGACATTTCTCGTCTCAGTTAACAATAAGGAATAAATAGTCCCATTCTCATTCTTTTAGCATTTGAAAACTACATTAATTAATGAGTTATTGATTTTCTCTTTTAACATAAGTATCTAGAATAAGTAGTCTGTAGTCCCATTCTCATCCATTTTATCTTACTTTTTTTTCTTTTCTTCTTCTTATCCTTTTCTCTATTTACCAGTATGGAAATGACAGTTCGTTCAAAGCTTGAAGACGCCTACTATTGAGAATATGGCTACTTAACATTGATTGGGTTTGGGAAACGGGAAACAATATCATTTTACAAAAAAACCATCACTAACAATTTTATACAACAACATGCAAGCTTTATTCCCATAAGATTCAAAGCGACCGCACAGGGACCAAAAATACTGAAGGCAAAAAAAAAGTATATTTGTAAAATTATAATTAGTATTATAACTAGTATTCAAACATGCAGAAGAAAAATGCCTCCTTGTGGGCCTTCCAGTGAGGCGTGCATATAACACATCGGCGGCCCAAAAACAAGGTTAACGAATTAGATATGCATCTCCTCTTTAAGAGTTGGAGCCGGAGAATGCTTATTTATAATACAACAGTGCTAAAGAGTTTTTCCCTCTGCCCGGTGTGGGAAACTGCTAGCAAGGCCCATTGCTAGCAACTTGAGGTTTGTTTCACACGAAGTATTATAAAGTTATTTCAAATACGAGCAAATATGGTACACAATATTGAGCAAGTATTATTAAACATAATTACAAATTTATGATAAAAATGATACTCATAAAAATGTGATTTTTAATATAGTGATTATAATAGTTACTTTAGTCATAATAATTTATATTCAATTTTTAGAATTAAGTGATCATGATATTATATTTGTCATATTTATAAGGACTCTGGAAATCTAAATTCTCTTGGAAATTAGAAAATTTTTATGTTTTCCGCAGGATAATCTTTAATATTAGACTTGCATACTTAAAAATCTTCTAGAAAAATTAAAATAAAGCATAAAAATCAAAACGTCTTTTCACGTCTGAACCTCGCCTAGGCTTCAAAGACTTAGTCTTGTTGCATTGCGCCTTTTAGAACATTGATTATAAGTCATTTAAAATATGCTCAGAGAATATCTCTTTTAAAATAAAGTGTATTTTGTTGATGAATATATACTTTTATTTTGATTTTTTTAATTTGTTTATTAATAACTTGTAATTTGTAATATGGTATTAATTAGTAATTTATTACTAATATAGTGTACAATGTATTATGCTTTTTACTTCATCAAATAAAAGGCCCAAATATTATTGTTGCGCAGGGTCCCTGTTGTGTCAGGAACGGCCCTGCTATAATACAACAACATCATGACTCTCTTATATATTATTTAAGCCATACATTTGGGTATCTATTATTTATTTATAGTTTTTGTATGTGTATGTGTATTATATACATGTATGTTTTTTTATAAAAGCTAGATTAGCTACTTAAATTTTAAGAATAATTGCATTGCTCTAAAATGTTCAAAACTATGGGATGTTAATAATATATCTACCATCAATCTAAATGGAAAATTTTAACGGAATGACTCGATTAATATAGATTAAATAGATTAAGGACTAAAGTGATAGATTTAATAGTTCGAAGATTAAAATGATATAATGATAATAGTTCAAGGACCATTTCTTCATTTTACTCAAAATCTAAATAAACAGTTTAGCAAAAACCACACTATCCTAACAAAAAATAAATTTAAAATCTAAAAGAAAGGGAGAAATGAAGAACCTTATTGAAAATGATGTAATCTAATTGTGATAAACTCATATACAAATGTATAGTGAGAGAGAAGTCTAGACTGTGTGATATGTTCGAAATTAGTTTTGCAATTGAGAATTTGGGCGTGAAAGACAACCTTTCCACGTCCCGTTCATCTCTGGTTTTAAATCAGTACAGAACCAGTGCAGAACTAAGAGTTCAAGTCCTAAATGAAACGAGATAATATCAAAACGGTTATGGATATTTCAGGAGATAGCGGGATCAAGATTTTTACCCACCCCTACTTCAAAGTGTACTCTCTATTACTAGTACTTTTATATTACTGCCTTTGTCCGCTAAGTTTATCTCATTTTTCATTTTCGTTCCATCCCACTAAAATTCTCATACAAAAGTTGGTAAAAGTCTTGTGATTCTAAGTGCCCATTGGAAGAGCTAAAATAGGCTAAAAACCTGAATATATTTAAAAATCACCAAACACCCCTTAAATGAGTTTTATTATCAGCTGATTTTTATTATCAGCTGAAAAAGTAGCTCTTGGCTTACTTTTTGGACTGAAATCTATTATATGATCATTAACTTGTTAATTGACTTCTTTTTCCCATTCAATATTTTGCAATAAAGCTTTATGCGTAGCTTGTTAATATAAGTGTAGTTTAATAATAGCTTGTTAATACATAGCTCAAGCCTCAACGCTTAATTAGTAAAAGTGTAGTTTTTTAATTTATGTATACTTTTGTGTTTAATATACTTCCAATTAACTTTATACATAGCTTTATACGTAGCTTGCAAATCATTAACTTTTGTTTTTTTATACTTCCAAATAACTGTCCCATTTTTAGTTATATGCATGTGAGGTGAGAGCTAAGCTTGTTAATATAATTAATAAAAAGTGTAGTTTTAAAATTAACTTAATCTTATTAGTCAAAAGGATTTTACGGGCAAAACTACATACATTGATACATATAGTCACAATGCAAAAAACAAATACCCTTTTTGGTAATTATACATTCAATCAGCTACTTTAGCCAAAAAGCCCAAAATATTATCAAACACTTCCACTTCAGCAATTTCAATCATTTCAACCATTACAACCATTACCAAACAAGCCTAAACCGTTCTTACTTTATTTTTACTTTATCAATTCAATATCAACCATGTAAACTCACTTTTCTTAATAACTTCACACTTCTTCAGACTTCAGGTATCTATATTAGTGAGAGGCAAGTAGTACATGATTAAGAACTGAAACCGTATCCACCGATTCTGTCTAGCCTTGAACCATACCACTACTACATGTTCGGGTTTCAATTATTACCTTAAGGGGGACTAGAACTGAACCGGAACCACAATCTGTGTTCACCCCCCCAAGTGTGACGACAATATATCAGAATTGGAGATCGCGATGAGAAGGAAAAAATCCAGTGTGCACAATGGTGCCGACGTCACAGTGTCGCCATTAGGCCCAATATGTTGTCATTGACGTCACTGTGGTGCGGACATGTTGGCGATGTCCAACACGGCGAGAATGTCTAGGTGGTTGACCAATTTGAGAGGAGATCCCTCCTTTTAAAAATAAATATACACATAAAATTAAGTTATCCAGTCCTTTGAAACATACACCATTACTTCTTTCCAGATGAAGGAAAGAATGATAAATATGCAAGTTACAGTTGTTCCTTGTGTAAGCGCACACGCTTGTAGCAGAACTTACACATTAATTGGTGAAGCAATTAATGCTGGGATATATCTTCAATCACATCCTCAGATCAATATCCAGAATTGTGATTAAAATTCTATTCCAGATGTGCAGAATCCCCAAGCTTCGGGAGTCCAGACTCTATTGTGATACAAACTAATAAACAGTTTGCTGGAGAAAGAACGAGGTCCAAATGAGGCACAAGTAGAAATTTGAATCATCAGACTGCAATCTGGTATACCCCCACACATTTTTTTACAGCTTCGCTGGACTTTTGAGTTTCCCTTTCTTCCCTTTTCTTTTTCTCCCTGAGAGGTATCAACACATTCAGGCGCAAGTAGTACAAGAAAGCTTCTGACTTCTCATAGTGTAGGCATTTGAGTATTTCACATTGGTTTGAATCTATTATATAAGTCGAGATAAACTTTACCTCCTGATGAAGACCCACCCAATTTAACACTAAAAAGTACACATTTTATGTACTTTATACAAAAACTTGGAGAAAAGACAGCCTTCAACATAACAAAATATAAAAAACAATAGATTTAATAAAGGGGAAATTCCCGAAATAGGAGTGAAAAGGTTTGAGAATTTCAAAATAGGACTGTCATGTTTTTATTTCCAAAATAGGAGTAAATACTGTCAAGTTTGGAAAATACTGCCATGTTTAAAGTCTGGTATTGCCAAAATATGACAATAATTAGTACTATTTTGGGAATAAAAACATGATAGTACTATTTTGGAATATATAAACGTTTGTAGTCTTATTTTGAGAATAAAAACATGATAGTCCTATTTTGGTATATACAAACGTTTGTAGTCCTATTTAGGGTAATTTCCCTTTAAACAAATGGAGAAAAAAAAAAGAAAAAAGTAAGAGTTTTCACCTGGCCACATATTCTTTTACTAGCTCTTTAGCCTGGACCAACTTAGAGAGTAAATTGCGATAAACATCAAGATCCCTGTCCACACTTTGTTTGTTCACATTCAAGGCAGCACAAAGCTATTGCAAGAATGATGTTGTCATTAACAGTACTTATCATGGAAAATCTATGGAGCTCTTAAGCATGAAAACTTCTCAATGAACTAAACTTTTAAAGTTGGAATCTGACGCAACATTTGTCACTAGTTTAAAATTCAAACATAACTTGATTCAATTGGAAATGACAATGACAAAAAAGCTTTTTGGGATAACTTATGGTAAAAGTGTGTTTTCGTTTAAGCACTATAAGTGCTTTTTCGTTTAAGCACTTCAAGTACTTTTCTGAAACTAATCTGCCAGTTTCTTAAATAAGCACAAAAATGCCTCTTTTACTATTAAAAAATATGAAGTATATATTTTCCCCGCTTTTCAGCCAAACGCTTCAGTTTGAAGAAAACAACTGTTTTTTTTACTATAAAAATAAACTTATTCATTGAAATTAAGTAATGCTAAATGACTTCTTAGACATTTAATTTGTCAGCACAAGGGCCGAGCAAGGATACATGGCATCTAGTACCAATGTTTTTACCATATAAAGCAAGTATAAATGCAATATACATGAATTTCGTTCTTTAGTCTATCAAGAAAGTAGTCTGTTGCACCTCCTCATTTAGTCTATCAAGAAAGTAAACTTCAAATGATCTAATAATCTATACCAAAGGTTTTAGTTGCCTTCTGTTATTGCGGTGTGAGCTGATATTACTATTTGGAAGCTTCCATTACCAACACGAGTAATTTCTCTTACGCTGGTGCGATTTTTGCAATGACATGAAATCTATAAAACCTACCTTCTCTAGGATGGTTGGCTCAGTTGCATTTGATAGCTCAAGTAGGCGGAAAAGTCCAACTGCAAAAAACCTGCTATAGCTAAAACCATCCTTTGTTGCAGCCCTTTTTGAAATGTCTTTTAGGATGTTTTCAACTTCTCCTTCCCTTGATGAAAACTCAACAAGGCTATTGGCATTCTGAGCACTCGCCCATGCTTCTAGCTTTTGGGCGTCAACTCTGAAAAATAAGGATTACTAATCAAAAGTGTCAAGAGTCCCACATTGAGATCTAAAACGAAACCTGAATTAATAAGACTCTAGACTAGTTAGTGGATTACATTCAATCTTTCAGTATGATTTGGTCGATGCGAATTTTATGACCTAATTAAGTGACCTAACCCTATCGTGAATTCTATAAAAAAAATGAATGCCAAAGGATTTGAGGAAAAAGGAACCTGTATTGATTAGGCTCCTCATTCAATGCATTGATGTATGCCCTGAAAATAGCCTCCTTATCATCTTCAGTTGGATAACCTTCCATGAGGCGATCATATACGGTCACAAACCCAAGGGCAAAAATGGGATCATACCGATATGATTTCTTGTACCTCATCAAATGTTGCTGCACAATCAGTTCTTGTAGCACAGAACCATACACACTAGGAATCGGCCGTCTGTAAGCCTTTAAGAAATCCATTTTTGTCTGTGACACAGTGGGCACTTCTGAAACTGGAAATATACCGTTACAAGATAAGTGCAGCACTCTAAACTAATAGAAAAACTTTAACAAAATATTAACAATCCAATAGAATACATGCTACTTCCTCCATCTCAAAGTGGTTTCAATTTTATTTTCTAAGTCAAAACTATTTCATTTTATTCTCTAATTTTGAGTATCAATTCTAATCATTTTGTGATTAGGTTTTTGCAATTCGATTTAGGAGCACATTTACTTAGTCAAAACTAAGTTAATTTTAGTAGGTTTTTTAAAAAAAAGTTCATAGTCAAAAGTTCAAAACTATTTAATTTTAGTTACAAAAGTAAACGTAAAAATAAGCAGGAAGAATTATCTGGTGATCCGTCTATTGAATATCAAATTGGGACAGAAGGTGTGTGAGGAAGAAAGTACTATTTTTTATCTTTCAGCATTCACTTTCTTCCTAGTTTACGCTAATGCTAAAAATGGAAGTAACTAAAATTTGCAAATAATTAGCTCTGAAGAAGCTGAATTGTATCGCGTAAAAAGTTTGAGAAACGAAAGTTACTTTTACCGGTGGACATGCAATGAACTACCGTTATTGAGCTCGAACTCGAAAACGAAGAGCGGAAATTGAGGGAATCAAAGGCTAAGCTCGTAGGGAAGCGAAACACATCCGAAGTGGATGATAAGCCACGAGCAGATGAAGAAATAACATTGAACCCCTTCCTCTCCAGTGATTGACCGATCGAAGAGAAGGAGAATGTAGTAACGGCGGCCATTGTAGAATATCGGAGAAGGGTTTGAAATTGCAGGCGGATTTCCTCAGACGAAGCGCATGAGGTTTTTCATTTCGAAGCAAATAAAGTCCTGAAGAAAAAATAAGAATGAAATCAAAGGTGAGGTTCGGATTTTCAGGCTTATCCTGATTGACTTTGTATTTTAATTTATTTTTTTCGGGAAAATCTCCTTTCGATTTTTAATTTACCTTTTATTTATTTTTTTGCAATTTTTTTTGGCTTAAATGTTTTTTTATTAGAACTAGTTACATGTTGCTAAGCTTGTTTACAAAAATCTGAGCTATTAAATATAATTATTATAGTAATAAATTTAGTCATAATAATTTAGCAGATGTTTAATTTGTACATTTAAATGTCTCTTACATTACATTCATAGCTCATATAATGTGATCAACTGATCCCAAAAAAAACTTTTAAATATTAGTGTAAAAAATTCATATAAAAATTTGGTCCTAAATGATTCTTTATACTTTTCTAGTACAGCCTACTCGATTAGATATGCTCCAGCTCATAGTAATTTTAATTATAATTTTTTAAATCTTATTATTTAGGAGATGTAAATTTTAGCTATGCGCTACAACACCTTAAAAAATAAGGTCCCGTTCAAACCATTTTTCATTTACACTTACTAGTTTTTTACTCGTGCATTGCACCGGATGCAATTAGTAAGTATTAAATTATTTAAAAAGATTAAAAATATGTTATGATAAGATAAAGCATCACATGTACTCTTTGTTTACTAAAATATGGGAAGATAAAAACTACGAATTATTATAAATGTGCTTCTAAACGACACTTCAAGCTAGCCATCTTGGTCAGTTTATGTTAGGGGGTATAAATACTTTCAAATTTGAGAGCAACTCCTTTTTTTTGACTTATAAGCCAGTTTTTTCCTAAACATGTAACTTTTGATTCGCGCGCTGAATTGCGTAATAATAGGAAAAAGTAAGGTCGGAGTTACTTTTCCGGTTGTATTGACTGAAGTTATTGTATAATATCATTTTAGCTACTTTTTCATGTAATTTTTATATTTATATTTATATTTATATTTATATTTATATTTATATTTATATTTATATTTATATTTATATTTATATTTATATTTATATTTATATTTATATTTATATTTATATTTATATTTATATTTATATTTATATTTATATTATATTTATACATATATTTTACACTTTACATATTATGTTTTCCTTATTTTATTTTTAATGAGAAACTAATTTTAATATCCCAAACTTTGAAGTGGTGTGACTTAGGTACCCCAAACTTGCACATGTAATATATATACCCTAAACTTTATATAAAAAAAATATGATAGCACCATGATCATATATGTTTTTCATAAATGTAATTTTACGGTGTTAAGCACAAAATTATAAATACATAAAACATTCATGAGGATGTAATTGAAATTAAATTCTACCCAATGTAATAATATTTATTTCACAAATGAAATTGTAGAGTGTTAATTGCATTCTAACAATGTTTAAGGTATTTTAAATTATATAATTATTTCAATAAATTTGTATTTGTAAAAAAACATATAATCATGGTGCGGAAAAAACTTATGTAACGGTCAGAGTATATAAATTACATATGCAAGTTTGAGGTACACACCTCGCACCCCGTTAAACTTTGGGGTAGTTAAATTATTTTCCCCTATTTGTAATGTATTGTGTTTTGTATTTTATAAATTATTTAGAGAAGTTTAAGAGGTTTGCTGAAGGAGAAGTAGTCTTCGGCATCGCGCAAATTATATCGTGGGATCGACCCACCATGTGCATGGTGTGCCGATCCCAAAATGACATACAGTTCACCGGGCTCCACCGACCTTGTTATTATGTAACAAAGCAAGACCCCTGATAGCTTCCAGAAGAAAACATGAGCTGCATTAATCCTCTGAACGAGAAAGCAACGACGATCCTGGTTGGGTGGTTGCTTAATGAGAGAAGGAAACACAGATCGTTGACTGATTGGCGAGAAAGCAACGTTGATTAGAAATCTTCATTTATTAATAACAAGATCCTAAAGCTATGTCGTTAACCAGGCGCCGTCGACCTTGTTATCAATGGTGATCGCTGGTCGCTGTTATATTACAGTACAAGGAATCCTTTTTGCCGGCTTCATGATTATCTTTCTCCAACGACCTTGATGGCTTGTCTTCTTTCCCAACAAAAGTGGCAACTTGTCATCTTTGCCTTTATTTACCTTGCATAAATGATTAGATAATTTATACTTTGATTTGACTCAAATTACATTTGAAAATAGTCAAATACATGCAATTACATCAGGAATTGCCTAAAGTTACATATCAATTAATGTGAGTGATAGAGTATATCTAGAGAGAAGTGAGAGCTAGAGAGAGAAGTGCAATAATATGCTTCAATAGAATGATTTCATAACCCCTATAACTACTCCCAAGGGGAGTATTTATAGAGAAAATTAGGGTTGGGCTCCCAAGCCTTGGGCTTGGGAGGCCCATTTACAACTGGACCGCTACTGGGCCGAATACAAAGCCACTAATGGGCTGTACAAATGAGTAAGTATAAAATCCGATTCTGTGAGGTCTTCGTGGCCGACGAGGGCGTGGCCGACGAGGGCACGGCCGACGAGGGCACCCGGGTTCCTTGGACTCAGGACCATAATCCGAGTTGGTCCCTTTCCGGCCGACGGGGGCGTCTTGGCCGACGAGGGCGCCACTCTGTTGTCTGGTGCTTTCTGTTCTTCCGAGTATGTGGGTCCGGGGGCTCAGACCCATATACTCCATCAGGAGTCCCCCACTCTCTAAGCTGAGATGTAGACGAAGTGAGGGAGAGTAGATTCCTATGCTTTGGCGCCCCTGGCCGTTATCTGTTCCTTGTTGTGGACAGGGAGGCCGTTGTTTACTTGATGTCTTTGTTCTTGGACGATGAGTGTCCTTCTTTCAATGGTGGCTGTTGAAAGGCGCGTTTTGCTTGGGCGTTGATGGTTGAAGTTCGTGTTTGGGCCAATGAGGCCATTGAAGTTCTTCCTTGCTTTGAGGACGATGGCGTCCTTTCCTTTGGGTGGCCAATGAGGGTGTTTGCGCACTCCTTTTGGCCGTTGCTGGTTGGCCTTCGTGTTCTTGGCCGAAGGGCCCGTCAAGATTAATTGTTGGCGGAGGACGATGAGTGTACTTGCCTCTAGTGGCTTGTTGGCCGTCGCTAATGACGTTATGGGCCTTTGGCCGATGAAGTTCCGTTGTGCTGTATGGATGATGTGGCCATGCTTTGTGGTCACATTCATGTTCTTTGTAGTGTTTCCTTTTTGTTTTGCTGAGGCCGGTGTAGTCCCCCAGTCCCCCACTGCTTCAGGCCGAGGAGTGTGAGGGGTGAAGGAGTTGCTTGAGTCCCTGGCCGAAGCGGCCTCTCCGTAGTCCCCCTGAATCTAACTCTCATGGCGATTTTCTGGCCAAGGTAACCCTGTGGGAGAACCCTTGTGCGCAGATCGCTTGTAGAGAGTTATCATCAAAGGTCATGACGAGGAGCCGATGGCTTGTGGGCTCTTGGGTCCTTTGATCTTGTGGCCGTTACGTTCCCGGCCGTTGCCGTCTCCTTATTGTTTAGCAGTTGTGATCTTGGCGAGCAAGTGGGACGTTGTGGGCGCTTGCTGGCATTTGTAAAGCCGGTGAGCGTGTGTAGGCCGTAGAGTCCGTCCTGCCAGTGGGCTGTTGATATTGAGTTTGGTCCGTGGTGACGTGGTCGCCCCCCATTGGTGGCCGTTGACGTGGCCATTGGGGGGGTGCCACGTGTAGTGACCGTTGGGTGGGGGGTTCTATAAATACCCCCTCCCCTCCGACGAGAAACCACATTTGCATTCTGAATTGTCGAAGTGCTGGCCATTTTTCTAGAGAGATAAACCACGATCTTCCTCATTTTTCATACTTTGCTTCCTAGGTTGTTGATCTAGTGTTAGGCGTTTGAACACCCTTAGATCTTAAGTTAGTCTCCTTAGGCCCGTAGTAGTAGTTATGAAGAGCTTGAACGAAGACTACTACCCCAACGACGACCAGCCCTCCACGAGGTCGCTTGACTACGAGGTACTCGAGGAGTTTGAAGAGGAGATAGAGCGTTTAAGTCCCTACAAATCCGGAGAGCCGGTGGACGAGGAAGGCGAGGACGAGGAGTCCGCCTCCTCTTCAAAGGGTGAGGACGCAGGTGCGTCCCGAGTAGTACTGGGCAAAGAATTCTTGTCGGAAATCCTCCCATGTAACAGTTCCGCCATACTTACCCTTGGTTCCATCCCACCATTTGGATGCCAACCCCTCGAGTAACCTTACCGCGATTCTCAGTTTAAAATCGGGGGTGAGCTGCATGTCAAGAGCTGCCTCGTTCAGCCTCTTGATCCACTGGGCGGCAACCGAGATGTCTCCCGTCCCATCGAACGGTTTGCACCCTAAGTCCCTCGCCTCCTTGATGTATTTGGAGATCCTTATGGCTGGACCTCCATCGCCCCGACTCCCATGCGCTTCCACATGGGTTCTCGAATCACAAAAACTCCTCCCTCTTGGAGCCCCGCCCGAAGGTTGCCCTGCACGGTGCCTTCGGCGTGCCCTCCTTTCTTCGCGCTCCCTATGATACTGTTGGAGCAGCGCTTCGATTCTGGCCAAGGAGCCACTTTCCTCTTCATCACTCACATCGTCATCATTCTCTTCGTAAGGGGTCTCAACTGGCTCAGTCCCCGGCTGGTAAGTTGAGTCCTCATAAGACCAATAGGTCTCACTCTCGGTATCAACGTGGCCATCGCTCACGGTTTGACGTTGGCCTCCACGGCCCCTTCCTCTTGATCCCCTAGAGGACCCCCGGCTACCGCGCTCGGACCCACCCGGTGCACGGCCCAACGGGTTCCTCCTAGTGATCCTTCCAATTGGTTCCATTTCTGAAAGAAATTAGGATTGAGTCGTTAGACTCGTATCGAATGTCAAATGACGGACGGGTACTTAAAGACATCCTTCGGCTCAAATCGCCGCCATACCAATTGTTAAGGGTACCATCTTAACAATTAGAGGCATTGCAACTTAAGTACAAAACTTATGCTCATGGTTTTTCAGATTCATTTTCAAAAAGAAA